TGTGTGTGTGTGTGTGTGTGTGTGTGTTTCTAAAATGTGACGCAAAGATTGGCATCAAAATTATACAATAAACAGATAATAAAGACAAGAAAGCTAGCAACTGTAAATGTGTAAATACTGGTTTATTTATGTTAAACTATTATAAAGTTCAGCTCAATGCATTTGATCTCCTATGAGTGCTTACACTTGAAGATTTTACACCAAGATAACCTTGCTGATATCTTTTATCGACATAGATATAATATATATATATATTAATAAATTGGGGCGGGAATGTTTTATTGCAATTGGAATGTGTACAAACTGATTTCTGCATTGTGCATAGATTCAAACAAAGGTAATCCACTACAAAATGGTTTACTCTAAGATATCCTTTAAAAATCTACACGTGTCTTGAATATTATTTTGTTAAGGCACTTAAAACTTTGGGCTTTTCGGTTGTCTTTTTTCGTTTTTTGAATAGAAGTTCTTTCATAACAATGTTTGCTCCAACTTTTAAAGTCTAAAAATACATCACTCACACTGACTAGATCTAGAATAGTTTCAAGCGCGCAGTTATTAAGATTTCACCATTGCTTTTAGGGTATTAAAAGCATTAAGACAGAGAAAGTGAACAATGTGTAGTACACGATCTTTGGTCTAGTAACAACATGCGTGTATTCTGAATGTACCAAATCAGTATAATATATTGAAACGGAAATCAATAACAGCAACAAGGTTTACGCTAAGATAGTAGCAGTACAGATTTCAACACCTTCTTTCAATAAAAATAAAAAGCCGAAATACATTGTAATTCACAGAAGACAGTTTGTCATCAGATTATATGATATTTGTATACCGTTAGCCGTTTCAGACTGAAACAAAAAGTACATTGTTTGTTGCTGATATCTAATATTTAATCTAGCAATACCATTTATTAGATCTAGGAGCTGGGTGAGTCTGACTGTAAGGGCCAACCCAGGCTTAGTGGGGTACAGTATCCCAGTAGAAAGACGGAGATTATCGACAAAATAAACTTTGTCTCGTGGGAATGGAACTCTTGTGTTTAGCGCGCGATGGTGCTGAGTATAACTGCTACACCACAGTCTCCAGTCTGGTAGGATGCTCCCCGAGGTAGAAAATAGTAAGTCTGGTATTGGTGTTACATAATGTACTATCCAGCGTGCATTTACTCACTCTCTTGCTATAATAAATACATGCTCATGACAAAAGCACTAAGGGAAGATATAAATACATTGTTCTTTGTCCTTCTTATACATAATATAATATGGTCACATGTTTACATCCCAAAGTTCTGTTCAACATGTATATCCTTCCAATACATGATAAAATATACCGTGTAGGTTCAATGGTTCCGTTTTATATCCTTCCATTACATATTATGATATAGTGACCTATATGTACATTCAAGATTTCTGTTCTTTTGTCTTTTCTTTGTATACTACGATATACAGTATACTACGATATACAGTATTCTCTCGCCTTGTCGAGGTTCGTATTTCGTGGACTCAGTACATCATATTTAGTATGGATTTCCCCCTGTCGTGGGAGGTTCTTGGACGTAGCTGAAGCGATGTTCGGGGGAATAATGTAGGCACATATGTGGTCGGTTTTATTCTTTTTTTTGGGGGGGGGTAAGTGTTTTACGGCGCTCACAATTGCATAAGGTCATATGAGCGTGCGGGACTCATTGAACTTTTTCAGTTGGTAGGAAATTTTGAATTTTGCCCGCATGGCGGCCAAAACCTACTCATATCGATTTTAGACCACGAAGGGATCTTTAACGTGCACAACTCGCTCACGGGCCCTCCGAGATTTTTCGCCCTTGTCCGAGATGGTCGCTTTTATGGACAAGCGGGCTAACTCAGATTGTGGGGGTTTCCAGAAATCTTTACCTGCACCAAAAGTGGGCATTGCCCTACCTATAGGAGACGTTTGGTTTCATTGGTGTGTATATTTGTTTGGTTACAGAGAAAACTTTCCTTGTTTTTTAAAGAAACTGAACAAGGGTCCAAAAGCTTTACCTTCGATTTTCTCAATACAGCATTTTTTAAGGATAGCCCCTTTGTGCTTAAAAGCGACCGTGTAATTTCAAGATGTATGGTATAGCAAGGGGTAGAGCTCTTGTTGGTTTATGTAAAGCGTCTGCGTGCGTCGACCAAATAACTGTTCTTTTGATGTACTTGATTGAAATACGGACATGTCGTACTAGTGCCGCTCAGATGTCGTGGGCACGGGGTCTGATGATGATGAGAAGGAGAAGAAGGAGGAAGAGGAGGGGGGGGGGGAGGAGAAGAAAGCGAAAAAGAAAAAGAAGAAGAAGAAGAAGACCCCAGTCCCGAGAGATCTTTCGCTTTTTGAACTAGTCTCGAATTCCGAAAATTGTCCAATACGTGTACTGAAATCGTATTCAAGCGGATGCTCAGAGACATTTTTCGAGAGACATTTTTCGAGGGACATGTTTATGATGATAAGAACATAAATATAACTGCATTATTGTGATTTATATATAAATGGCTCATCTCGAAAGACATTCTCCATAGACAGTGCAACTGATTGCAGCCGTTGTGTGTTCTTGTCCAACTCTAAAAAGTCGAACACAGTTCCACTGGTTTTGGAGTACATAAAGATCTATTTTTAAAAACATTCTTGTCAACCTGGTATGGTCAGTACTAGCGAGTGATAATGATAAGCAATACGTTCTTTGAATAGCACAGTTGTTTTTATCCTGTATATCATATCAAATCTAAAACACATTTAATGTGATATTATAATCCTATTTTAACAAACTGTAAAAATGATGGGTATATATGGTATGCTTATCTAGTTTGCATCATTGTTTAGCAGTTACCAAACATCTTCAAAAAGTGTAATTATACATGTGTATAAGATTTTCTCCCCCATCGGCACTATTGTTATATCAATTAGGAGGCGGGCTCCCTCGGCCCTGCCTGTCTGAACCTGCCCGGGACAAGAGGGATGCAACATCTCTGCACGTCTGTGCGGAAAGACGGTGACTCTAAACTTGATAAGGTTTTCCCGACACGGGAATTGAACCCAAGTCTTCTGAGTCCGTCTGCGAAGCGCTAACTGCTACACAACAGGCGCCGGTAAACATTGTCAAAGTCAAAGTAAGGCAAGCAAAACACAATATGGCATTACGAATCAAACCCCCCAAAAAAAAGAAAGAAAAAGAAAAAGAAATAAAAACCCTTAATAAAAATGACAACAGTATTGGTGCCGATGACTTATATGCGTGTTCCTGACAGATGACGTAGTAAAAATGTGTGGACAATGCAAGAACAAGCGGGCACGTGACTACAGAAAACTAAACATCAATTGAAAAAAAATGAAAATGGCAGAACGATACTAAACAAGTCTTTGTTTGAAATTTGGAGGGAAATGAAAATGAAGTCTATGTTGAGGAGAGGAAAGATGATGAAAGGAAAAATGAAAAAAAATACCCCCCCCAAAAAAAACAAAAACAAAACCCAACTATATACCCCAGCAACAAACAACCTTGCTGTATATTTACCAAAACACAAGAAAATGACCTAAAAAAACACACACCCCAAAAAA